TCCCATGACTGAAATCAAGGCGTTGGGAGGGGCATCTCATCTGAGACTCAAAATCTTCTTACTAGCTCCATCCGGTTGTTGGTAAAATTCGGTGTAATTATATGACTGTGGTGTCCATTTCCCTGCGAGCAGTAGGCCAGGGACTGGTCTTGCACCCACGCTTAGGTCCTTGCCACGTGGCCTATCCTCTCATATGATGACAGCTTACTTCTTCGATGCTAGCAGGAAAATGTCTCTGCTGCTTTGAATTTCTCTTTGGGGGTTAGTTACTCCATTAGGTCAGGCCCACCAACGATAATGTCCCTTTTAATGAACTCAGAGTCCACTAATTCAGGACCTTACTTATATCTTCAAAATCTGGTAACCTTATAATGGGAGTGGTGTCCCTTCATATTCCCAGGTCCTGCTCTCATTCTAAGGGAGGGGATCCTAAGGGCATATGTCATTGGGGTCATTTTAGAATTCTGCCTACAGATATTAGCACCCAACAGGCAAATCTGGAATACAGAATATTTATAGCACAACTCTCAGTGTCTTGGGGCAAATGAAAAGGAAGAGGACTGTACTAGATTAAACAAATATAAAACATGTAACAATCAAATGCAGTGCTTGAACTTAGATTGGATCCGGATTAAAACTGGTATAAATAAAAAACTCATTCTTGAATAAATAATAAAAATATGAATGGAAACTAGTTATTAAATTATATGATGGGGTGAAATTGGTAATCTTCTTAGGTGTGATGATGGTAATATTATAGTCATGTAGAGGAATATGCTTAATGACCATGTTAGTTTTAAAAATGTCATTGAATTATAACAAACATTCAGAAAAAAATAACATCATAAATGAATTTTCACAATCTTAACACACTTGAGGTTCTAGATCAAGATTCAACACATTACCTGTCCCTGCCACAGTCAATATATTCCAAGCCACAATTATATAATTTCAAAGCAACATCTTGTGCACTATTTTAGCTTGTTTATTTTATTTAGTTTGCCCCATCCAGGGGAAGGGATACATTTCAATGCCTTCCAGTTGGCAAGATTTGTTTTCAATACTTGGAACTTGCTAAAGCCTTTAAATTTGAAGGCTTTTGTGCTCCATGCATTATATGCTTTGGTAAAAGATACAAGACTTCTGACTGATTTTAAATGAATACAATAGAAAATTTGAGAACATTTTAACAAATGAGCCCTGTATTATTGCCGATCACTTAGGTTGATTAAAAGGTAGCACTTCAAAGGCTTACACACTTTCACCATCTCGTGGATAAGAAGCAAGAAAGAAATGTTGAGCTAAATTACCTTTGATGGGACTGAAAAGTCACGTTTCCCAGAGTGAAAGGTAAACACACCTGCTATTTTAAGCCATGATCAGCAGGCTCGGTGTTTGAAAGCAAGTGTTGATATACCTACAGCAGATTTGTATCTTCTACTTTTCAAGTCCTCACTCTGACTCCCATAATGGATGATAAAAGCTGACAAACATTTTGTGCAATATGCATGTTCATCATCAACTTCCTTGAGTAACACACATGTCAGTTTTGAGTTTATTGCTACTAAAAGTGTTTACTGCAAAAACGTTCAGACTGCTCTATATATGCTCTTAGTCCCTATTTTCTGCACATTTTTTTATTTATTCCTAAGAAACTACAATGAACAATCTGTTGGCTTCATGTGCTATGAAATGGGCCACAATACAGTTGGTTAATACACCAGTAGCTGCTGGGATTGAATATTTCTCTCACCATTGCCCTAGACTGGATAAATGAACCTTCCCTAGATCTTTGTGTCTGAGCCAAGTAATTATTCCCTTATGTTTCTATTCCAGTAGGCTGTTAGTGACTCTCTCTCTGTTTTATTATTTCTCAGTACCACAACTTTAAGCCTAGGTGGATAAGAAACTCAGTTCTGGACAGGGGAAGTAATTCCTCTGTCAGTTAATTTGGAATGCTACAATTCAAATGCTGGGTTTTGTTTTCCTTATCTTAGCCCTAGGCTGAAAGAGTTCAGATATTTAAAAATATATAATTTATAGTCTCTGATTTTTATTCTGTATTTAATCAAGAAATGGAAACTATCCAGTGCCTTTAGAAGCAACCACCTACCACAATCTTGAATTCCTCATGCCTTACTTACCATTTGCTGTGTGACAGAGACCTCATACTTGCTTTTACTGGGCATCACATTTCAAGAGACCACTGTTCATTATCTATTGGCTGGCCAACCACTATGAACTATGGAATGAAAGAGCAGTAGTTTGCATCCTATATCATAATACTAGATAATTCTCACTGATTTAGGCAGCATAGCCAGTCTTGTGATGATTAATTTTATGTGACAACTTGACTGGGGTGCCAAGATATTTTGTTAAACATTATTTCTGGGTGTGCCTGTGAGAGTGTTTCTGGGTGAGATAACATCTAATTTGGTGAATTGAGTAATGCACCTGGACCTCCTCAATGTGTGTGAACCTCATCCAATGGTATTGAAGGCCTAAATAGAGAAAAAAAAAGCCCAGTAAAGGAGAATTTACTCTCTCTGCCTGACTGTCTTTGAGCTGTAACAGAGGCTTTTTTCTGCCTTTGGACTCAGGCCTCAACTCCAGCTTACACCATCCGCTCTCCTCTTTCTCAGGCCTTTGAACTTGAACTGGAATTATATTATTGGCTGTCCTAGGTCTCCAGCTTGCTGACTGCACATTGTGGGATTTCTCAGCTTCCATAACTACATGAGCCAATTCCTTATAATAAATATATTTATACATCCTATATAATAAAAGGCTAATATGCAAATCAGATAGACCGGTAGCTATGATGTACACTGACCACCAGGGGGAAGACACTCAATGCAGGAGCTGCCCCCTGGTGGTCAGTGTGCTCCCATAGGGAGAGTATCACTCAGCAAGAAGCTGGGCTGATGGCTGGTGAGCTCAGCAGCTGTGGTGGGAGCCTCTCTCGCCCTCGCGGTAGCACTGATGTCTGACTGCTGGCTTAGGCCTGCTCCCTGAGGGCTCCCAGACTGCAAGAGGGTGCAGGCCTGGCTGAGGGCACTTCCCCCTGCCACCCCCCATGCACAGATTTCATGCACTGGGCCTCTAGCATAATAATAATAATTTACTTGATTCTTCCAAATTCTCTGGTGGCTTCTTGCTTGCAATAACCCTGCTACTGAATTCCAGGTGAAAAACTGATTGTGAATTATAAATAAAATCTTTGTTTTAGAGCTGATTGTTGCCACAGCAAACCCAGTCTGTTCTGACTAATCTAAACGTCAAAATTGATTTTTATCATCTTCCTTAATCCTTATAAAAATTATTTCAAAAAGGAAATATTGAGTATTTCTCCCCAGAACTTTTTCAGGAAATGGATGTTATTTGGCTGATATATGCTTAGTGACTCCAGGATGCTTAATCTATTGGACAGAGGTAGTATTAATTATTTTAAAGATAAAGTGATTAAGTGGGGGCATTTATAAAGCTAAATATTATATATTTTATTTTTAATACACGTATAATGTATAAATCTGTGGAAATTCCATTTGTAGGACTGAATTGACATGCCCATCCTGACAATGTATGCTACTCTTCTAATGACGAAATTAAAAAAAAATTCTTTATTGTTGAAAGTATTACATATCTTCCCTTTTTTCCTCCATTGACCCCCTGCAGCCTGTCCCCACCCTTTGCCCCAGACCCTCATCACCCTATTGTCCATGTCCATGGACCATGCATATATGCATACAAGGTCCTTGGTTGATTACCTCCCACTTACTTCCCCCTCCCCTACCTTCCCTCAGAGATTCTGCACTCTGTTCCATGCTTCCGTGTCTCTGGATCCACTCAATGACAGAATTTTGATTAAAGTGCACTGGAAAATGAAAATTAAATAAAAAAGAGAAATAGTAATTGTTTTTTTTTATTTGAGGAAACTGATGTTCTAAAAAGGCAAGATAAATTATGGCCTGCAAAACCTATAATATTTACTATATAGTCCTTTACAAAAAAATTACTACCTCCTGGTCTAGAACAACAACTTGTCTGATAGAACAAATGGTCTTAAAGATGAGGCCCACCTTCATTTTTTATTGATTTGATTTCTAACAGAGATTTCCCCCCTAATAGTCTTTGCTTTCCCCAACACCTACCTCACTTAGCTTTTAAGTATTTTCTTTTAGAGATTCAGATTAGCTTGATACACTGACATTTGGGCAGTGTTTGGATGAGTGCCTTGGACTACAAAACACATTCTGAGTAAGGTCATTCAGCACAGTGTGGTTTTCTGGCCTTGCGGGGTGTATGTCCCTGTCACACCATATCCCTCATAAACTAGGGTATTGGCCATTGAGCAAACAGCCCCAAAGATAAGATGGTTTAGTTAATCTTGAAGATGTCGGAGTAGCATTAAAGCAGGAACACAAAATCAATGAGTGTTCAAGTGGGAAGGCAATTTACAAATTTAGAAATTCTATTTTTCTGGCACTAGCAAGAAGGAAGACATCCCTGGAAAGTGAACGGGGGTGGGGGGTGAGGGGGTGGGGCTGTGTGTGTGACCCAAGTCTCTAGAATGGTGAAGAGGAAAGCCTGTTTATCAAACAATCCCTTCCCTTGACCATTTAGAGACTCAGTTTTGTCTTATACAACATGCCCTATTTGCTAAGATATCCAGTCACTCAGCTATTAAAAGAAAAAAATTAATGGGATGGAAAGAGAAAAACTGAAGGCACCTCGGGCCCTGGAGATTCTATAAGTCATGATGTCAGAGTGTAACATGAGGCTTTTGAGTTCTAGGAATGGCTCTGAGGTAGGAGATGGGAAGAAGAAAGTACTATAGGGTTGCTGGAAACAAATGTTACCACATTTGCATTTTTTCTTGTGTGCTTCATAGTTCCTATCTACCTTCCTTCTGTTGGTGGGTAGAGGGTGCATATAATGTTGGTGTCTCTTGGACTATATTGATATGGGAAGAAAATGGACCCAAGGAGAGGTCCTCTCACTCAGATGTACATGTTCCAAAACACCTGGAATCTATCAGCGACCCTTTTGAAGGCTGCTTTCACATCTTTGTTTCTCAGGCTATAGATCAGAGGATTCAGCATGGGGATGACCACAGTGTAGAAGACAGATACAATCTTGTCTTCCTCTAGGGATTTGCTTGAGCCACTCCGCAGATACATGAAGATGAGAGTCCCAAAGAAAAGGACTACAGCAGTGAGATGGGAGGCACATGTGGAGAAAGACTTGGCCCTGCCACCTGAAGATTTCACTCTCAAAATGGCCTTGATGATGAGTAGGTAGGATATCAGGATGACCAAGGCATTGGCTAAAATCACAAAGTTGCCGAAGAAGACAATGACAATCTCAGTGTTTGTTGTGTCATCGCAGGCAAGCTTCAGCAGGGGCGGGAGGTCGCAGAAGAAGAAGTTAATCTGATTGTTATCACAGAAGGAGAGGGTGAAGGTACATGTGGTTCGCAGGATGGCCCCCGATATCCCACAGACATAGGCTCCCACCACTAACCTCCAGCAGATTCTGGGATTCATGGCTACGGTGTAGAGCAGTGGGTTGCTGACAGCAACATAGCGGTCATAGGCCATCACTGCCAGCAGGAAACACTCTGTACCTGCGCAAATGGTGAAGAAAAAGAACTGGGCAGCACATTGGTTATAGGAGATGACCGTCTTGCCTGTGGCCAGTGTGGCTAGAATCTGAGGGGTGATGACTGAGGTGTAGCAGGCATCTAGAAGGGAGAGGTGACTCAGAAGGAAGTACATTGGGTTGTGGAGTTGGACATCCAGCTGGATCAGAATAATCATCCCCACATTTCCCAGAAGGGTGACTACATAGAAATTCAGAAACACCAGAAAGAAGAGAATCTCTAACCTGGGGTAGTCAGTAAAGCCCATGAGAATGAACTCGGTCACTGTGGTGAGATTATTCTTGGCCATGATTCAATGTGAACTTTGAATGAGATAAAGAAGAAAACCTTAGAATTGAAATACAGTTTCTTTCTCTGTCAGTGGAGGTTAGGTTTATATTTCCAGGCCAATTTATTGAGCTTGTTTTTGAGAAATTCTTTACCTGGCTGATTCTCCTTGGGCATCTCTATTCTTTTCCTGTATTTTTGGAGCTGAGCCATGAGCTGGTGCTTTGATTCAGACAAATTTTGGTTTATATTTGGACAGTTCTGTGAAGATAAGAGACACATAGACTCGTAGATTTGGAAAGAATCTATTCAGCATCAGTTCTAGTCCCCACTGGATGCTGGAGTCTCCTCTACCACATACTCTCCACGTGGTCATAAGTTGCTGGGTGAGCCTCCATCTGTGGACAGCTCTACTTGTTAATTCTATTTTTGAACCTGGATTCCCTCCACCTCTATCTTCTACACATTGGCTTAGTTTTTACACCTTCCAAGCAATCATGACAATTTAATCCCTGCTCATGAAAACCTTTCAGAAGTTGGAAGATGATGAATCTGCTCTGTATATTGACTATCCCCTCATCTTACTTGTTGATATATTTTTTTCTAATTACATAATTAATAATGTGGTCAAAATTGCTTAGTCACATGATATTAAAATATGTTATTTAAGGCTACAAATTTATAGCTAGAAGATATAAGTTCTGGATATCTATTGCACAGCATAATGATTATAATCAACAATATTGTATTATAAACTTCGAAGTTGCCAAGAGACTAGTTTTTAATTGTAATCACCACAAAGAAGACATCATAATTATAAGAAATGATAGAGATGTTAGTTTACACTATGGTGGTAATCATATTGTCATATATAAATGTATCAAATCAACACATTGTACACCTCAAACTTATACAATGTTTTTGCCAGTTATATCACATCATATTAATAAAAAGATAACTAAAAGTCTTTCTGTCCACTTTAATCTTCTCCACTTTAGTCTTGATTTGGGGGCTTCCTCCAGCTCCAATCAGGGGTTATTAGTGAGAGGGAGACGCTGACATATTATTTAAAACATAATCTCCTTGGATTGCTCCCTCCACCCCACTTCAGCAGTACAGGCTGGATGACCTTCAAGCAGCTGCTATTACCTTATCTTTATCTATCTATCTATCTATCTATCTATCTATCTATCTATCTATCTATCCTCTATCTATTTATGTATTTATTACCAGGGAGGAATTTAAACTTCTGGGAGATAAGTTGGTCTTAGGCCACCTAGTTTAATAAGTGGAAGATCTGAGTTCTGAAGGCTAATGATTTTGATTTGATGGCGTATTCTGTGCTTTTTGCTATTAATTCATTCTGCTTCTCTACATTTTATTTCATATTTATGATGACTGGAATCAGAAAATCTTCCTGTAGTTCTTTAGATAACCATGTTCTTTCTACTTTTAACTCATAAGAAAACTTGACTAATTTTAACATCTTTCTCATCATCTAATTCTGAAATTGTCATAGTCTACTTTCTGTCCATTTCATGGCAAGGTCCAGACATTCCTTCTAATTTAGGGGCAAGATTGTTTAGTGCATATGACCAGAGATAAGGTGGTCACAGGGCTACAAATGCAGCCACACTGGGTTTGTGCCACATGCATGCCAGGCCCACCTCATGTATTAGCTCTAATCCTTCCAGCAGCCCCACAAGTTGGGTGTAGCTAGGACTATTTTATGGATGACCAAAGTGAGGCTTTCAGAGGTGAAGGAAGTTGGCTAACTTGCCACATACCTGGAGAAAAAGAATCAGCACTTAAATCTGGTATTTTCTCACTATAAATCCTGTGCTTTTTCTGCAACAACATGTTGTCCTCCTACAGAAAAAAGAATTACATGTTCTGTAGACCCAAGTCTCAACTTTTAAACTCATAGCAACTCAGACTATTAGGCAAATACTCAGCTTCCATGGGAGAAGAGGATTCAGTTTGGTTTTGGAGGGTTTTTTTTTAGTAGTTCATGTCTTTTCTTCTTTCTTCTTTTAAGGTTAAGATAGTCTTAGTTGGGCCATATCCCACTTTTGTTATGTTCTTGGGAAAACTGCTTAACCAATTAGAGTCCAAGTTTTCTCAATAATAAAATGGAAACATAATCATGATTTTTGAAAACCTACATGGATTTTTACCTAATGTGGTAGAGTGTGTTTATTTTTCAGAAAGTCAATTTCCAGAATATTTCCCAGAAAGAAAAATTTCAGGATCAGAATGGTGGCACCCAGTTTTGTATGATTTTATTTAAGAAGGGGTTTGGGGTGCCAGTAGCTTGGATGGGCCCAAAGCAGAGGGCGGCAACAGGTTCCTTGAGCTCAGAACAGTTTTCAAGAGGAAAAACCAAGGTCTATGACCAGTAGACATTTTAAGAAGGCCAACAGACACATGGATTGACATACTCACTTGTAAAATGTTTTGATTATAATATGTAATGTAGAAAAACATGAGACCTCTGGAGAGAGTTGGGAAAGAGTGACAGTCTTACCAAGAGGAACCCTTCAGAAAAGAGATGGCCCTTAAATCTCGTGCTTACTTTAACTTGAAACCTATCCCAAACTCTTCTTTCTCTTGCTTCCAAAGGTCGAGTTCATTGGGGAGAATGAAGGAACTCAACAAAGTTTCTCCTCACCTTATTGAGATTGGTGTCTCAAAATATTATTGTCAACATTTACTGAGCTCTTGACTTGACTCAGGTAGCATGCAAAGTACTATAAAAGCTTTATTTCATTTCAACTTGACAATAACATTATGAGAGTGAAATATTTATCTTTATTTTACAGTTGAAGAAACTGAGACTTAGAAACATTAAGCATTTTACCTGAGGTTTCGATTCATAGCTAGAAAGAGAAGATGTTTAGATCTTAATCTTGATCTCCTGGATCTAAGAATTGTGGGACTGAACCATTATGGTGTGCTGCTCTTCCTAATATTGGTTGTCATTTATTAAGCACCTGCTATGTGCCAATCAGGATGTTAAACATTCTATGTACATTATCTAACATAACCCCCACAATGACCCCATGATAAAGGTATTATTTTGTCCTGAAGAAAACAAAAACTTGGAATAGTTAAGTAACTTGCTCAGGATGACATGATTAGTCATTGAAAAAGCCCAGATTCTAACTCATTTCTGTCTTATTCTAAGGCCAAAGTTATAGTACATATGATCAATCCCACCTCCAGCATAATTACAGGTAGTACCACAATTTACAGTAATGTCCCTTGTCTAAGTATTGCACTCCAATACCCCATTCTTTCCCCATGAAAGTGTTTATATTTTCTAAAATTTACCTGGTGACACATAAGTCTAAAGAGATTACATCTATAGATTAAAAATAAAATTTACTAAAACTTACCTGTATATTTTATACAAGAGCTAAAATTCCAGTCTGGACACAATCCCATTCGATGACAAGTTACAATGACAATGGCCAGATTCTCTGCCCAGTTCCTCCTTCCCTAGTTTGTGCGAACCTTGCTTCAGAGCCAGTATTTTCTCAACGTTATCAAGGTCACAATTCCATCTTAATTACCTGACAAAATAATCCATTTGGATTTATCTTAGGTTTGGAATCAAAGCAATTCAAGGTAATTTAAGCATTTTGTAGAAAGCAGCTAATATTTCTCAAATAGATTAATGTAGCTGACAGATTTTAACCAAGAAAACCAGCAAGATATTTAAAGTGCTTTTGGGGATGGTCTTTTGGGAGGGAGGCAGTGAGCACCAATGTTATTCCAGAACCATAAATCAGCACCTGGGACAGCCCCCACGGCTCCTGGGAAAAGCCCGCCTTATCTGGGAAAACACACTTCAACAGAAACTCATTATCTCATCTTCTCCACACATCTGAGAGGATTAAAAACAAATCATGTGGAAATAAATGAACAAACAAAACAGAAACAAACTCATAGATACAGAGAACATTTTGATGGTTGCCAGATGAGAGGGTGGGGGTTGGAGGAATGGGTGAAAAAGGGGAAGGGAATAAGATGTGCAAATTGCCAGTTATGAAAACAGTCACAGGGATGTAAAATACAGCATAGGGAATATAGTCAATAATATTGTAATAACTATGTGTGGTGCCAGGTGGGCACTAGGCTTGCCAGGGTATTCACTTCATAAGTTATATGAATGTCTAATTACTATGCTATACACGTAAAATGAATATAGCATTGTGTGTCAACTGTAATTGAAAAATAAAAAAATTGCTAAGAAAACAGGAATCTTGTGGGATTTTGTGGCAACTCTTAAGTCTCATTAGTCTGAAAGCTCATTTGCCGTTTCTATAGGGACTGAATGAACTTGGTTCCTCTTTGCCAGTGGTCCTCAATGTCCCACTGTACCAGTTCATCAGTGCCAGTGCCAGGACTGGAACTCATATCTGAGGACTTGTGTGAAGTTCTCTTTCACCTGCATCCATCTTTAGACCTGATGTCAGGTCTCGTTGCAGCCGCTGAAACCTAGCTGTGTTGTCTGCTCAGAATTTCATGAGGACGGATTATTGGTTCAGGAGGGAATAAGGCTATGAAACATTTGAATCTGTATCCAGAGTAGCTTGTTAGTTAGCCTTCTGTAAAGATCTATTCCAGAGTTTCTGCTGGCAGCTTTCTCTGGCTATTTCAGCTCGCATGTCTTCCCAGGTCCCTGAAGCCTGTACTCCCTTTGTTATCACCACACAATTTGGCACTTAGTTCCACTTGCCTTACATTGTTCATGGCTGTTCCTTGGTGGTTAGTTTCATCTCCCCAGCTAGACTGTGTGTTTCTGGAGAGCCAGTCTTGTTTCCTTCTAATAACTTGTATTCTGCTTCCAGAGACACTCAGCCCTCTGAGGAGAATCGCCCCTTTGCCCTGTATGTGTTCATCCACTCATTAATGTAGGATCAGAAGTTTTTCAGCAAGAGGGCAGTCAGAGAGGTCATTTATGGTACCCATTCACTCCAAACTGATATGGCTGGGATAAACCCTTTCAGTAATTAG